AGACAATCCACATTACAACCAAAAACGTTTGCGGTTTCTCTCTTCTTTTTTAATATACACACTTTTCTCTCGTTGGGACTACTATAACCTCTTCCCTTTATATATATATATATATATATATATATATATATATATATATATATATATATATATATATATAATGATATGAATTATCAGATTAGATTTTTAGTACTAATCAGGAGAGATTGACATCAAATTTCTAATTCTCCTAATCTTATACCTCATATTGTGTTACTAAACATCCCACAAAATCATAGGAGCAGCCTTCATATTCTACAATATTCTTAGCACTCGAACAGCCCTATATCTGTGAACTGGCCAAACTCTGAAATATTTCTCTGGACTTCGGTATTCGGTCTGTATATTAAAACACCTAGAATACGCCATTCTTTTTATTTCACTCATTTCATTAAATCCTGTATCAAATTGTTTGCACTTTTCCTATTTTATGACTGTTCCTACCCCATCATATCATTCTTTTTTAATCATGCATTTAATTACGACGAGATTAATCATTCGATCTTTTTCTCTACATATGCGAAATTTACTGCCTTTCCGGATTTTGTTTATTTTCCTGGTAATAGTGAAATGTGGCGTTTACTTATAAGGAAATATTCGCCGTTCATTGGTAAGTTAGAGTAACTGTCGGCTGATATTTATTAAAAAAATTCTCTTCTAAAATAATTTTTAAGGAAAATAGGTATCTCAGGGACACTAGCTGATATCGTTCCTTCTCCTACTGATCGGGTTTCCTAACTAAACATTTGTTTAAATTTGTGTGAAAAGTCAACATCTCGATTATGTCATTATTTTCTCTTCAAGTTACATGTGATATTTGATTTCAGTTGTTTTTAGCTGTTGAAAATCTTCAAATAACGGTTTGTCTGTTATTTCATGAAATTCTTACTTTATGATACTGTTGCTCCAGTCTCTGAAAACTAATGAAGGATTATCTTCTCAAAATCTAAGATGGTTCATTTGCGTGAAAAACAGTTACATATAATTGGTAGTTTAGACATATCTGAAGGAGTCTGGGGCCCGAATGAAGTTTCACAACCGAGAAGCTCCATAGGAGAATCGGTTAGCAAACTGATTCTGGTTACATCGAGCCATGTTAACTGTAAATTGATGAGGCTTTGCTGCTACTCTAGTTCTAAATTCATAAATCTAGATAGAGAGATAGCAAAGAGGAAAGTCGTATTTATAAAGTCTATTAACCATAGCGGAAAGTCGTATTTATAAAGTCTATTAACCATAGCGGAAAGTCGTATTTATAAAAAGTCTATTTATAAAGAAAAGTCGTATTTATAAAAGTCAAGCGGAAAGTCGTATTTATAAAGTCTATTAACCATAGCGGAAAGTCGTTTATTTTAACCATAAAAGTCTATTTAAAAGTCCAACCATAGCGGAAAGTCGTATTTATAAAGTCTATTAACCATAGCGGAAAGTCGTATTTATAAAGTCTATTAACCATAGGAATAAAGTCTATTAACCATAGTATTTATAAAGTCTATTAACCATAGCGGAAAGTCGTATTTATAAAGTCGTATTTATAAAGTCTATTAACCATAGCGGAAAGTCGTATTTATAAAGTCTATTAACCATAGCGGAAAAGTCGTATTTATAAAGTCTATTAACCATAGCGGAAAGTCGTATTTTAACCATAGCGGAAAGTCTATTAACCATAACGGAAAGTCGTATTTATAAAGTCTATTAACCATATAGCGGAAAGTCGTATTTATAAAGTCGGAAAGTCGTATTAACCATATAGCGGAAAGTCGTATTTATAAAGTCTATTAACCATAGCGGAAAGTCGTATTTATAAAGTCTATTAACCATAGCGGAAAGTCGTATTTATAAAGTCTATTAACCATAGCGGAAAGTCGTATTTATAAAGTCTATTAACCATAGCGGAAAAGTCGTATTTATAAAGTCTATTAACCATAGTCGTATTTATAAAAAGTCTATTAACCGGGAAAGTCGTATTTATAAAGTCTACAACCATAGGAAAGTCGTATTTATAAAGTCTAACCATAGCGGGAAAGTCGTATTTAAAAAGTCTATTAACCATAGCGGAAAGTCGTATTTATAAAGTCTATTAACCATAGCGGAAAGTCGTATTTATAAAGTCTATTAACCATAGCGGAAATTTATAAAGTCTATTAACCATAGCGGAAAGTCATTATTTAAAAAGTATTAACCATAATAAAGTCTATTAACCATAGCGGAAAGTCGTTTTATAAAGTCTAAACCATCGGAAAGTCGTATTTATAAAGTTATTAACCATAGCGGAAAGTCGTATTTATAAAGTCTATTAACCATAGCGGAAAGTCGTATTTATAAAGTCTATTAACCATAGCGGAAAGTCGTATTTATAAAGTCTATTAACCATAGCGGAAAGTCGTATTTATAAAGTCTATTAACCATGGCGTCGTATTTATAAAGTCTATTTAAAAGTCCCATAGCGGAAAGTCGTATTTATAAAGTCTATTAACCATAGCGGAAAGTCGTATTTATAAAGTCTATTAACCATAGCGGAAAGTCGTATTTATAAAAGTCTATTAACCATAACCATAGCGGAAAGTCGTATTTATAAAGTCTATTAACCATAGCGGAAAGTCGTTATTTATAAAGTCTATTAACCATAGCGGAAAGTCGTATTTATAAAGTCTAAACCATCGTATTTATAAAGTCTATTAACCATAGCGGAAAGTCGTATTTATAAAGTCTATTAACCATAGCGGAAAAGTCGCCGAGTCTAGTCGTATTTATAAAGTCTATTAACCATAGCGGAAAGTCGTATTTATAAAGTCTATTAACCATAGCGGAAAGTCGTATTTATAAAGTCTATTAACCATAGCGGAAAGTCGTATTTATAAAAGTCTATTAAAAGTCATAACCATAGCGGAAAGTCGTATTTATAAAGTCTATTAACCATAGCGGAAAGTCGTATTTATAAAGTCTATTAACCATAGCGGAAAGTCGTATTTATAAAGTCTATTAACCATAACCATAGCGGAAAGTCGTATTTATAAAGTCTATTAACCATAGCGGAAAAAGTCGTATTTATAAAGTCTATTAACCATAGTCGTATTTATAAAAGTCTATTAACCATAGCGGAAAGTCGTATTTATAAAGTCTAGTCGTATTTATAAAGTCTATTAACCATAGCGGAAAGTCGGAAAAGTCTATTAACCATAGTATTTAAAGTAAAAAGTCTATTAACCATAGCGGAAAGTCGTATTTATAAAGTCTATTAACCATAGCGGAAAGTCGTATTTATAAAGTCTATTAACCAACTAGCGGAAAGTCGTATTTATAAAGTCTATTAACCATATGTCTATTAACCATAGCGGAAAAGTCGTATTTATAAAAGTCTATTAACCATAACCATAGCGGAAAGTCGTATTTATAAAGTCTATTAACCATAGCGGAAAGTCGTATTTATAAAGTCTATTAACCATAGCGGAAAGTCGTATTTATAAAGTCTATTAACCATAGTCTATTTATAAAGTCTATTAACCATAGCGGAAAGTCGTATTTATAAAAGTCTATTAACCATAGCGGAAAGTCGTATTTATAAAGTCTATTAACCATAGCGGAAAGTCGTATTTATAAAGTCTATTAACCATAGCGGAAAGTCGTATTTATAAAGTCTATTAACCATAGCGGAAAGTCGTATTTATAAAGTCTATTAACCATAGCGGAAAGTCGTATTTATAAAGTCTATTAACCATAGCGGAAAGTCGTATTTATAAAGTCTATTAACCATAGCGGAAAAGTCGTATTTATAAAGTCTATTAACCATAGCGGAAAGTCGTATTTATAAAGTCTATTAACCATAGCGGAAAGTCGTATTTATAAAGTCTATTAACCATAGCGGAAAGTCGTATTTTAACCATATTTATAAAGTCTATTAACCATAGCGGAAAGTCGTATTTATAAAGTCTATTAACCATAGCGGAAAAGTCGTATTTATAAAGTCTATTAACCATAGCGGAAAGTCGTATTAAAAGTCCATAGCGGAAAGTCGTATTTATAAAGTCTATTAACCATAGCGGAAAGTCGTATTTATCGTCGTATTTATAAAGTCTATTAACCATAGCGGAAAGTCGTATTTATAAAGTCTATTAACCATAGCGGAAAGTCGTATTTATAAAGTCTATTAACCAGCGGAAAGTCGTATTTATAAAGCGGAAAGTCGTATTTATAAAGTCTATTAACCATAGCGGAAAGTCGTATTTATAAAGTCTATCTATTAACCATAGCGGAAAGTCGTATTTATAAAGTCGTATTTATAAAAGTCTATTAACCATAGCGGAAAGTCGTATTTATAAAGTCTATTAACCATAGCGGAAAGTCGTATTTATAAAGTCTATTTAAAAGTCATAGCGGAAAGTCGTATTTATAAAGTCTATTAACCATAGCGGAAAGTCGTATTTATAAAGTCTATTAACCATAGCGGAAAGTCGTATTTATATTTATAAAGTCTATTAACCAGCGGAAAGTATTTATAAAGCGGAAAGTCGTATTTATAAAGTCGCGGAAAGTCGTATTTATAAAGTCTATTAACCATAGCGGAAAGTCGTATTTATAAAGTCTATTAACCATAGCGGAAAGTCGTATTTATAAAGTCTATTAAAAGTCCATAGCGGAAAGTCGTATTTATAAAGTCTATTAACCATAGCGGAAAGTCGTATTTATAAAGTCTATTAACCATAGCGGAAAAGTCGTATTTATAAAGTCTATTAACCATAGCGGAAAAAGTCGTATTTATAAAGTCTATTAACCATAAAAGTCGTATTTATAAAGTCTATTAACCATAGTCGGAAAGTCGTATTTATAAAGTCTATTAACCATAGCGGAAAGTCGTATTTATAAAGTCTATTAACCATAGCGGAAAGTCGTATTTATAAAGTCTATTAACCATAGCGGAAAGTCGTATTTATAAAGTCTATTAACCATAGCGGAAAGTCGTATTTATAAAGTCTATTAACCATAGCGGAAAGTCGTAAAAGTCTATTAACCATATTTAAAGTATTAACCATAGCGGAAAGTCGTATTTATAAAGTCTATTAACCATAGCGGAAAGTCGTTATTTATAAAGTCTATTAACCATAGCGGAAAGTCGTATTTATAAAGTCTATTAACCATAGCGGAAAGTCGTATTTATAAAGTCTATTAACCATAGCGGAAAAGTCGTATTTATAAAGTCTATTAACCATAGCGGAAAGTCGTATTTATAAAGTCTATTAACCATAGCGGAAAGTCGTATTTATAAAGTCTATTAACCATAGCGGAAAGTCGTATTTATAAAGTCTATTAACCATAGCGGAAAGTCGTATTTATAAAGTCTATTAACCATAGCGGAAAGTCGTATTTATAAAGTCTATTAACCATAGCGGAAAGTCGTATTTATAAAGTCTATTCTATTAACCATAGCGGAAAGTCGTTTATTTATAAAGTCTATTAACCATAACCATAGCGGAAAGTCGTATTTATAAACCATAGCGGAAAGTCGTATTTATAAAGTCTTAACCATAGCGGAAAGTCGTATTTATAAAGTCTATTAACCATAGCGGAAAGTCGTATTTATAAAGTCTATTAACCATAGCGGAAAAAGTCGTATTTATAAAGTCTATTAACCATAGCGGAAAGTCGTATTTATAAAGTCTATTAACCATAACCATAGCGGAAAGTCGTATTTATAAAGTCTATTAACCATAGCGGAAAGTCGTATTTATAAAGTCGGAAAGTATTAACCATAGCGGAAAAGTCGTATTTATAAAAGTCGTATTTATAAAGTCTATTAACCATAGCGGAAAGTCGTATTTATAAAGTCTATTTATAAAGTCTTTATTAACTATAGTCGTAACCATTTATAAAGTCGGTCTATTAACCAAGTCGTATTTATAAAGTTAATTAACCATTAACCATAGGGAAAGTCGTATTTATAAAGTCTTTATTAACCATTAACGGCGGAAAAGTCGTATTTATAAAGTTTAGATAACATAGAAAAAAATTAACCATAGCGGAAAGTCATTTATTTTGAAAATAACCAAAAAGTGTGGCTACAAGGCCAAAATTTGTGATTTAAAAGGGAACTGGTCTTCCATCAGTATTATCTTAAACTTAGCTAACGAACTATTTATAAAGTCTATTAACTAGCGGAAATATATTACAGTGTTTATAAAGTTTCAACATAAACGGCACCTTCTTAAAAGTCGTACCATTCTTACTACAGCTGCCATAGTGTCATTAACCACAGGGAATAGTTAATCTGAAGAAATCCCATTAAAATATTTATAGAAAAGACACATGGAACCAACGTTACGGCAGTAGGAAGTGACTGAAGCCGAGATGCCAGGTGAAGACCAATAACATTATCTTCTACCCTCTTTCCGGGGCAGTTAAAGCCTAGCCACATTACTCCTGAGATGAAAGCACCACTGCATGGTCATTATCTTCCTTGTCTTTCGGTCCAAGTTTCTTTGTCTCTTTTTGGTTCATCCAGCAATGCTTGTTCCTTATTTCACACCCCCAACTACCAACGCATTGATTCCTGGAATCAAAGATCTTCCATTCAAATTAAATCGATAAACATTCCTTATACGTTGAATATACATCCTTCCTATTCTTGATTTCATCTTGTTTTTGAGAGACTTGTTCACCTGTATAACTCCAAGATATTTGTAACTGCTGCTATATTCCTCTTTAATAGATGCCATATCAAGAAATTCTATCCATGGGCTATACATCTTTCTTAATTTTCAACACAGCACAGTTATCAAATTCAAATCACATCCTGATATCCCGTAAGGGTCTTCACCAAATAAGCCAACTGGTCATTATTCCTTAAGATCATTTATGAACAACAGGTGAATGATGGGCTGTTTCTGATCTCTTGTAAGCTCGAAGCCAGATTATGTCTCATTAGAGGAAGCGCGGTGGAGGAATCGGAGAGCTGAGTTGAATTCAATCGAATCCATTACATTCACGTGCTAATACCCTTGGGAAAGGTATGACGCCTCTTCTTCCTCCAGCTATGGGTAAATTGCAGGAAGGACCGGGTTCTGTAGCCTTGGATTGCAACTTGTCTACTGCAGAAAGAAATGGCATTCTACTGGGGGAAAAATCTGCTTCGTCAGTCATGTAAAAAAAAAGATACATGATCGCCTAAGCGAGTATCACGCATGGCACATAAATGAGTGAATGTTATAGGATTAGCAATTTAAAACAATAACAGGACAGACCGGGTTCTGTAGCCTTGGATGGCAACTGGTCCACTGTAGAAAGAAATGGCAACCTACTGCGGAAAAATAATCTCCATCGTCAGTCATGTATCGAACAATACATGATCGCGTAAGCGTGTATCACATATGTCTCGTAACTGACTGACTCAGAACCAAAGTTAGTGATAGCAAGATGATCACTAAAGCGATGTGGGTAGTTTTCTTCTTCTTCTTCTTCTTCTTCTTCTTCTTCTTATTATTATTATTATTATTATTATTATTATTATTATTTTCATATTTAAGATTTTGGTTTTATAATTATCATAATCGTAATTATAATTTCATGAACTGTTGTTAAAACAATAACTAATAATTCTACAGGGTGCCCAGTAAAAAAGCGGTAATTTTTTTATCATTCTTTTATGTTTCTTGAATAATTGACCTTGAATAACCTTGAATAAATTTCTTGAATATTCATGACCTTGAATAACCATTCGACTCTTGTGTAATTACTTAACACTAATTGATTATTTTATGGTTGATTAATACCCGACGATCTTGTGACTTGTCATTTAATGGTTATTTGCAGACAATTTTCGTCTTTCGTTTTGCTCTTCTCATATGTCTAAAGAACTCACTGATTTTGAGCGTCAAGTTATCGTACTTTTCCAAGAACATCCGACATGGGAATTGACGAAATTTGTAGAAATTATTCGTGAATTTTTCAGTCACATCAGTCGTCACCAGTTTTCAACTGTTGTTTCAGGTTTTTCAGATTTTACCTCTTTTTTACTGGGCACCCTGTAGAAATAATACCAATAACTAATTTTAATAACTAATACTACTAATAAAGATATTTGGCTACAGTTACCAGAAAACGTAACTTTATTCTGTATTATTTACTAGTTATAAACTTTATTTTTTCATTTCTTATTTTAGATTTTTATACTTTTTTTAACATTCTTTTTCCTTCGTTTCTCTCTGTCAGTCATTAGATTCGCTCTCTACATTCCAAATCAAACTATCTTACTCTACAGATCCCTTCTGATATTATTTTTTATAACCCACTGTTTCATTATTATCACCAATTTGCACTTAGACGACTGTAAAGAAACAATGGAGCAATTAATTTCCAACATAATTCATCAGTGCTTCTATTCCAACATTTAAAAAAAGAGAGAAAATAAATTGAAAAGAATGAATTATAAATATGAAATAAAATAAAAACCCGTGACCACAATAATAGAACAAACGCTAGCCACCTTTCTCGAGATTTTTGCTATTTTAAATTTTATTTCTTTTTGTTCACAAAAGCAAAAGCAGAAGCATCCAAAGCGCATGCGCTGAACGAAGTGACGTCCATTCTTTCTGAGGAGAAAACGCGCGAATCATGCCTCTTCAAGTCAGCCCAATAAAATACAACAATAACAATGATGTTAATAATAATAATAATAATAATTAAAAGAAGAAAAGCTAATGTAACAATTTAAAGAAAAAAGTGAGTTTAAAGTCGCAGATTGCTGCAACTTTGAGCCAGTTCTAATTAGATGCTATTCACACAGTCACTACTTGATGCCAGATCGTTGTCTGTTTTATTCTCTCAGCAAACACACGAACGGCTCGCAAATTTAATGCACAAAGGTTATTTGAATCTGGGAATAAATTACACAAGAGCTTCATTTATGAATGAGCAATTGGATTATTGAGTAATTCAATAGCTACCGTATCTATCTATCTATCTATCTATCTATCTATCTATCTATCTATCTATCTTAATCCATTTATATCTATCTATCTATCTATCTATCTATCTATCTATCTATCTATCTATCTATCTATCTGTTTTAGTCCGTTTATATATATCCATCCATCTATCTATTGATCTTAGTCCATTTATATCTATCTATCTATCTATCTATCTATCTATCTATCTATCTATCTTAATCCATTTATATCTATCTATATATCTATCTTAGTCCATTTATATCTATCTATCTATCTATCTATCTGTTTTAGTCCGTTTATATATATCCATCCATCTATCTATTGATCTTATCCATCTATCTATCTATCTATCTATCTATCTATCTATCTCTATCTATCTATCTGTTTTAGTCCGTTTATATATATCCATCCATCTATCTATTGATCTTAGTCCATTAATATCTATCTATCTATCTATCTATCTATCTATCTATCTATCTATCTATCTATCTTAATCCATTTATATCTATCTATATATCTATCTTAGTCCATTTATATCTATCTATCTATCTATCTATCTATCTATCTATCTATCTATCTATCTATCTGTTTTAGTCCGTTTATATATATCCATCCATCTATCTATTGATCTTAGTCTATCTATCTATCTATCTATCTATCTATCTATCTATCTATCTATCTATCTATCTATCTATCTGTTTTAGTCCGTTTATATATATCCATCCATCTATCTATTGATCTTAGTCCATTTATATCTATCTATCTATCTATCTATCTATCTATCTATCTATCTATCTATCTATCTATCTATCTTAATCCATTTATATCTATCTATATATCTATCTTAGTCCATTTATATCTATCTATCTATCTATCTATCTATCTATCTATCTATCTATCTGTTTTAGTCCGTTTATATATATCCATCCATCTATCTATTGATCTTAGTCCATCTATCTATCTATCTATCTATCTATCTATCTATCTATCTATCTATCTATCTATCTATCTATCTAGGAACTGTAAAGTTCTTGGTCCGACCAAGAAGCGATTGTAAAAATGAGTCTGTCGTTTGGTCTTTTTGATATGAGAACATAGCCACACCACTGTCGTTCTACCCCTCTCTCTTTATCGATCTATCTATAATAGATTCAACCTTGCAGAGCCTCAGACGATAAAAATGGGCCACTCAGAGAACATCGAATTTACCACTTGCGATGGTCTTGCGAAATTAATATGCTAGACACAGTAGTATACGGTATAGTCCTTAAATATTTACTAAGTTTAACTTTCTGTAACACAATACCATTCTTGCAGTGCACTTAATGAGGATCTACCTGACTACACGATCTACTGATGTGAGAGAAGAGCTTCCTCATTATCAAATATGGATAACCGCTTTTATGTGCCTATCTCAGCTGCTTGAAAGGGACCTTTTGAAAGCGTATTTGAATGAAGTGTTGCAGATGCCTGTTCGTAGATGAAACACTGAAAATCTACATTGAAGGATTTCGTTAAATACGCAGTAGCAAGGACAATGTAGACGAATCTGAATGATTGTCGATAAAAGAAATCGATTGACACATTGTTAACAACCGATAAATACATTTATTAATCAGTCAGACAGTAATTGATTAATCGAAGATAATATTAATAAAACAATCCATTTCAATATACTCATATATATCTATAACACATGCATTGCAAGAGGCGCTGAATAGTTTAAATCAGATAAGTTTGATGAATACAATTATATTCGATATAAAAACAGACGTAGAATGCTCATCATACTCATCAATAAAGACTTCCCAAAATTAAATTAACTTTAGTGAGTATTCAGTATAAATACTATAAAACATAGATCTGCACAAAAATATATGTTCTATAAATCACAAAAAGCACAACAGAAGAATCACCAGTACATCAAAAACCTTTAAATGAAAAACAAATGCTCACTAGACGTTAACTGGCTACACACGAACGTAGTATGTCAAGCTACTGTAAGATCCAAAGAAACCTAGAAAAATATATAAGTATATAAAAGGTCCCTGGATATGAAAGACTTACTCATATAAAACAAGAACTTAAAAAATATAATTCAAAACGCATCAGAAATAAAGGAGAAAATATCAATAATCACCGTTTCAGAAAAATATAACGCTCTAATCAAATTATTAGACATCTTTTCCCAAATGCAAATACAAAAAAAAAAATCCTACAACGCTAACAACAACCACACGTCGACTATAGTAAGTAAACAAAAAATTTAACCATGAAACTAAGGAACTTTATTTAACAGTAAATATTATTTAAATACCAAACTTTAGAAACGAAGAAAGTATACATAAAATAAATAAATAAAATAAAAATAACTAAATCTAAAATATATTAAAATAAAAAACTGAATAAATAGATTAAGTAAAGTCAAGTTGGAGACAAAAAATAAGTTTAAACATTAGACCTGAACAAAAAAAACGATTTAACGTTTTCCACTTCCCATACCCCAAGTGGACTCTATAAAACGCCTTAAACAACAAAGAACTAACACATGGTCAGCTGCACAATAAATATAGTAAGATGACAGTGTTAATTTCTAAGTTCACACTCTTCATATCTATAAATGTTCTACTTCTGTTCTTGAGATTTTTTGCCAAGATAGGGCAAATTTTAAAAAATACATATTCTTGTGAAAAAGTAAGGGAACCTTTAAGATCATATTTAAAGTAATTGTCTTTTTTTCCAGATAATCAACAAATCTTAATTAAACTATATATTCGATAAGAAAAGTCTTTATTAAATGAATTACAATTACTTTCAAAGATATTTATTCTGCTGGAATAAAAATATTAATTAAAAAACAAGATGTGCAAAAGTAAGTGAACCCTTACATTTAATATTTGGTGAGTGATTCTTTTGAGGTTACAATGTCAACCAGTCTTTTTCTAATTAATTAAAATTTAAAAATGGAGATGTGAAAAAGTAAGTGAACCCTTATATTTACACTCTGTATTTTTGTTTTGCATGGTTGACAGTGCAAATAATTTTCGGAGGATGTGTAAAAATCAAAATGACACATGTTCATTTTTTTTTGGTAAGCAGTGTAAACTGGAGTCAAACAATATCACTCATTGTGTATGCAATTATTTTAAATATTATCTCAGCGGTTCACTTACTTTTGTATAACACTGTAAAAATTGCTAGTAGTGAGTAGAATAACATTCAGATAAATATGAAGAAAAGGAAACAAAATAAAAAGCTATCCAGGCAAAATGCAATCTTCAGGCATCTTCAGGTCAGAATATGGTGACAGTTTGTTTCATGCTTGAATGCAATCTTCAGGCATATATATATGATATGATGAGATGATTCTTGGATATCAATTGGCAATCTTGTACACCAGACACAAAAGTCTGTCAGCTCACAAATATAGACAGCGAAACTTCTCTATTAAGATGTGCAAAAGTAAGTGAACTCTTACATTTACATTCTATACAACAGAAAGCACTTGACGGCCGAGAACCGTTGGTACAGTTGGTGTGACTCCTATCGTAACTGTCCGGGTTTCAATTCTCGGTAGTGGATGCGCACTGCTGATGAGTCCCAAATATAGGACGAAACGGGCGTCCAGTGCTCTCTGAATTCTGTTGAGGTTTCTTCTAGACTCGATGAATTACTTAATTATGATTATTTCAAATCCACCTAATTATTTCTCTTGGGGATAGTAGTCGTAGCTCGTGGAGGCACAGTCCTATGGGTAAAAGAGAAACTTGGAGAAGTTCCACCCCGGAATTTGTGATCGAGCGGCGCTATATCGAGTCTAATTCGTTATCTCTTCGTTGGTACAGTTGGTATGGCGTTTGCCTCCTATCGTAATTGTCCGGGTTTCAATTCTCGGTAGTGGATGCGCACTGCTGGTGAATCCCAAATATAGAACGAAACGGCCGTCCAGTGCTTTCTGCATTCTGTTGAGGTTTGTTCTAGACTGGATGAATTAGTTAATATATATAATATATATATATATATATATATATATATATATATATATGTATAATTCAGCGCTATGAATTATAAGACTATAAACCAAGTCAGAACAAATGTTGATTTGTAGGAAACTGTGTTTAGAATTAGTTTCTATCTCTTCTATCGAATATTTAGTTCAACTCCGATAGCTGGACAAATAAGATTTCAAACGCAATAGTTAACACCTGCAGTTGTGTTCGAACCCTATTTTTCATTTTTGCATCGGATTGATACAAATGGTGAAAAATGGGTTTTGCATGTCAAGGTAAAAGCAAAACGATCGTGGTTATCATAAAATGAAAAACAAGTGCCAATATTAAAAAAAAACCAAGAATGCACCCACAGACATCGTTGCTTTCTGCCCGGTGGAATACGAAATCCGACATCCATGACGTGGTATGGGAGCATGCAAGAATCATAAATGCTGGCCTTTATTACTTGATCGGACAAACGAGGCATTATGTCAAAAGTGTCCTCCTTCTATGAGCAGAAAAGATTCTTCCCACCCTCTATACTCACCACATTTAGAACCTACAGATTTTTATTTGTTTCGATCGCCATAATATTTCATTAGCAGAGGAACATTCGTATAGAAAGAAATTGAAAACAATCTTTCAAATTTTTTTTTCGGGGAAAAGCCAAGAATTCTTTGATCGTCGAATTGAAACTTTGTTTTGTGATGAGTGATATTTTCTTGTGATATCCTTCAACACTTATTCACTTCATATTGCATGGGGGAGATGTAACTTCCACTCGAGTAATTTCTTCCCACGAGTCACTGTTGTGTAGAACCGACTCCAAAGAAGATGCTTCCACAATCACTACAACCTTAACTTATTAAAGTCTATACTAAACCGTTATCATTACCTATAAAGTATGCTACTTGCTTTATAACCCTCCACATCAGTTGGTTGTTAGGACTTGTAAAAGGTGAACATCATTTTAAAAAACAGACAAATAAAAGACGTGTGAATAGTGATAGGTTGTACAAACTTTATCTGTTCTTTAAGCATTTCACCCCAAGCAAGACGAGAATGCCACTAGCATGCGAGGGGTTACAGAGAATGGGAGCAAGAGCAAAGAGGGGTGTTTGAGGAAAGGATATAGAGAAGGACAAGGGTCAGGGTCAAGTCATCAGAAGATGTCGATTGACATTACATTTGAAGATTTGAAGATTATAGCTATCAAGAAAGCAAGTAAGAAGAACGGAATTCCACTGACGGCAAGTGCTAGAGACGAAGCTGTTACAGTAGAAGAGGCGGTTTTCGACAGTGAAACAGTGGGGTCAAGATTTTAACCTACTAGTATATCTATATATATATATATATATATGTGTTTGTGTGTTGTTTGTATATATTAAAGATGACAGACAAATTATATTAATTATATTTAAAATTTATCTGTTCTAATTGACGGATCAATTTCCGTATCGTTGAATGGGAAGTGAAAAGGAAATCTCCAAGTAATTTCCATGTAAAGTTTTCAGATTTAGACTTCGCATCAGTCATTATCAGGAATTAAAGTCCATTTCGTGATTGTCAGGAAATTAGTTGCTAGATAAAATGCATTAATTAGTTTTAGTCTTTGAGTAATTGCGAACGTGTGGTTTTCATTGACAAAAACAATCATTATAAAACTTGAATTAATATGGCTTAATTAATATCTTTTTCTATAAAAAATCTACAAAATAATAAATAGCATTAAAAACACTTATCAATAATGGCAGTCCGAATTATGCTATTGACGAACAAATAAACTTATTTTTAGAGCGCTTACTAACAACATTTAAAATATCAAACATAGCTGGAACTTAGATGCCATAGATTTATTTTATTGTAACCAGAATTACACAATCAGTCAAAAGAGAAAATATCGATTACAATATGATCAATAGATTATGAAACCCGCAATCAGTTATAAAGAACTGTTTAAAACTTTTAAAAATGTTAACGTAGTTTTTATTAATAAAACCTAATTAAAAGCAAATACTCTCTATAATACA